AATGGGAAAAATTTTTCTTTTAGTTATTTTTCAAATAAAAAATTATTCTTACAATGATTTTTTTTATTTGACTAGAACCAGTAAGATTATAAGATTTTTAATTCAGCATTCAGCAATTAATAAAGATTTCATCAGGCAGCTCCTTATTTTTTATTTATTTTGAACTTTGGATATTAAAGCAAATTAATTCGTCAAATTCAGACATTTAAAAAATCACACAACTCTGTTAATTTCGTAAGAATCACATACAATTATTTTTTTTGCCAACCACATGGAATTTTTTTTTCAGTTTTTCAAAATGTATATGACTTTCTCATGTAAATGAAATAAAACTACATGGAAATTTAGACTTTATGAAAAATTGAGTCTTTGATCAACTCAATTGTCGAACAGTAAGCGATATGTAATTTTAATGGAAATTAAAGATGACTTTTTAATTTATTTTTATTTTAAAAGAATAATTTTAATTTAAAAAATTATTATTTAAAAACTAAAAGAGTTTAATATGCTGGGATTAACTTTAAAAAATTTCATATTATTTATGCAAAAAAAAAAATCTAAAAAAAATGAAAAAGAATCCAAAACTCTTTTAACCAGCACGCTAGTCCCTGCCTCCCCCGTGTCTGACAAGCAGCAAGCGCGCTCTGAAGCACTAAGCCACTAGCCTCCACTGCCGGCGCCGCCGACTTCGTCACCGGCGATCACTAGGTCGGTCTCTCTTATTCATATCTCTGGTGTGAATATTCTACTTCCGAATGCTTGCTTCCGGCATTAAACATGTTGGCAGTCTCGGCTATCAATGAGCTCTTAGCGTCTGTTTTCTATTTCCCTATTATTGCAAGAATAACCGGATTAACAAGACGTTATTTCTTTGTTTGAGAATCTAGTTTCCCCCCTTTTGATCATTTCGTCTTTGTACCTGCACTTGTCTCCTGTAATTTCTCTCTCAAGCCATTTAACCTTTGACTTGTTAGTCTCTGACAAGCAGAAGGCAACCCACGAGTTGATCATTCTTTTCTACTGAGCTGAAGCTCCTGGATTATATTTTTCCAAGTAAAAATATCATCTTGGTTGAGTTTTGGTTCATTTTTATAGCTACATAGGGTACCTCCTTTCTGCGTTATGGCTGGCGTTTGAGTAAGTTCATTTTGTTGATTAAATGCTACAAAGTTTGCAGTAGGGAAATGAATGATTGTGAATTGGGATCATTTACTCTTGTTATTTCAAATTTTTCATGTGCGTTTCATCTCTCAAAGTTTATCATTTAATTTGTAGGCCATTGGCCTCTTGAGTTACAGTAATTTGTAAAGTTTGCAAGAACTGCTTGCTTCTATGCTACTATCCATAATGTAAAGTTAGTACTTAGTACTGCAATGATGAAGTCTGAGCTGAATGGTTGCCACTTTTATGCATATTGACATCTGTTTCTTCAAACATTATGGTTGACGATGCACTTATTGGATGACGCAGGCTGTTTATAGTGTCTTGGGACAAAACTTGAAACAAAGAAATTTAAGTTATTTGCGAAGGAAACTCAACATCATCCATGGAGTCTCTAGTTCTTAAACTCTTTGAAATCTCAGCTGTCAAATTTGGAAACTTCAAACTCAAATCTGGCATCTTCTCTCCAATTTATATAGACCTTCGCCTCATCATTTCGTACCCTTCCCTCCTTCAGCAAATATCCCAAATTCTAATTTCATCTGTCGCTTCTACTTCCTTTGACCTTGTATGTGGGGTCCCTTACACTGCTCTTCCCATTGCTACTTGTGTCTCAATCACTAAGAACATCCCCATGGTCATGCGACGCAAGGAAATCAAGGATTATGGCACTGCTAAAGCCATTGAGGGTGAATTCAAGCCTGGCCAAAGTTGCTTAATCATTGAAGACTTGGTTACCAGTGGCACATCAGTTTTGGAAACTGCTGCTCCACTGCGTGGTGCAGGGATGAAGGTCAGTGATGCTGTTGTTTTAATCGATAGAGAGCAAGGTGGGAAAGAGAATTTAGAGGAGAATGGCATAAAGCTGCATTCTATTATAAAATTGACTGAAATGGTCAAGATTTTGAGGGAAAAAGGAAAGCTTGATGATGAGATCGTTGGGACTGTCATGAAATTTTTAGAAGAGAATCGGAAAGTTGCTGCTTTGGCAAAGGTGGAGAAGCCTGTCACTAAGGCCAAAGCCTTGTCATTTGAGGAGAGGCGAAGCTGTCAAAGAATCCAACAGGAAAGAGACTGTTTGATATAATGGCTAAAAAGGAGAGCAATCTATGTTTGGCAGCAGATGTTGGAACTGCGGCAGAATTGCTTGAAATTGCTGAAAAGGTGAGAACGTCGTGTCTTTTTGGTATAGATTTGCACCCCAATCTTACTTTTTTTTTTTTTTTGGGGGGGGGGGGGGGGGTGTGTTTTAAAAGCACAAGTGCTATCTGGAAAATGGTTAAAAATGAAGTAAGTTTTGTTAGTGGGATTTTTTCCCCTTTTGCCAACTGGGTTATGGGTTGAACTATTGCATGAGTAAATTATTTTTATTTCAACGAATTTGATTTTCCTTGACAGGTTGGTCCTGAGATATGCCTGCTGAAAACTCACGTGGACATATTGCCAGATTTTACTCCTGATTTTGGCTCTAAGCTTCGCTTGGTATAATTCTAATTGAAATGCCCCCTTTTTTTCTGTATATCTATTTTGCCTTGCCACTCAAGATTGCAAAACAAGCTTTTCCGTCCTAGGTTGATTGACTTTTGTATACTTTAATATATTAGTTAACATCTATTAAAATAAAATGTTGATTTTGAGAATGTGATAAGTTTTGTGGAATTGCATAATTTTCTGGCCTCGCTTTTTCTGATATGTTGCTCATTCTATTGAAGATTGCAGAAAAATATAACTTCTTAATCTTTGAGGATCGGAAATTTGCTGACATTGGTAATACAGTAACAATGCAGTATGAAGGGTAAGACCTTGCTCTTCTGTTTTGGATTTTTTCCCCCGGAAGTTCCCTCAAACTTCTCTTTTGGTTGAGACAAGTTCCTTTTCTTTTTTTTTCCCCTTCCCCCCCCCCTTTTTGTGTACTTTGATATGACATTTTTTTCGTTCTGTTGTTTGAAGAGGGATCTTCCATATATTGGATTGGGCTGATATAATAAATGCCCACATTATCTCTGGTCCTGGAATTGTGGATGGATTGAAATTGAAGGTCTGTAATGTCAGATATTATTCATTTTGAATGCAGCATGACCTCAATTGATAGATTCATATGACTTGAATTGTACTCAGGGTTTGCCTCGTGGTAGGGGTCTCTTGCTTCTTGCTGAAATGAGTTCTGCTGGTAACCTTGCCAAGGGAGATTATACTGCTGCTGCAGTGAAAATTGCCGAGGATCATTCTGATTTTGTTATTGGCTTCATCTCAGTCAATCCAGCATCATGGCCAGGGGCACCCCTAAATCCTTCTTTCATTCAGGCAACTCCTGGCGTCCAAATGGTGACTGGTGGTGATGCTTTGGGGCAACAATATAACACACCATATTCTGTAAGTTATTGAATATTGACATTCATCAGCCAATTTTTTTCTTATCTACATGTATCAGAAAGTTGAACATTTGTAGAAATTGACCTTGTCGGAGTTACTTAGTTTTACCTGCTTAGGATAGAAAAGAATTCTGTTGGGATTATGAGAAAGAAAATGGAAGGTGGTGGGATCTAGTTTCAGTCTCAATAATAGATCTTTATGATATTTAAAATGCCAATATTTGATATGTCAAATGAAAAATGCAAGTGAAAGGATATAAACGCTATTTTGCGGAAGTTAATAAAGCTAAAAGGAATGAGTTAGATGTGCATGGTGTTTTGGGGGGGTATGAAACGCCACCTAAAGGATATGATTTTAACATACTCGGATCTCTTGGATTACACCAGTCAGCTTTGATTTCATTGTACAAAACAAGACATCAAGATCAACACCTAAGATGTCTAGACCATAGGGGACCAGCTGCCTCTTGGCTAACATCGTACAGGAAGATTGATCAGAATAAACAAAACTGATAGAATAGTTGAGGCTAATACCTATATCATGAATCACAATAGTGTATCATTGAAGTGATGAAAAATTACTTATTGGTTTTTTATCTTAGCTTTGAACATTAAAAAAAAAAAACCTGTAATTTTGGTAATTAATAATATTGCTAATCTTGTCATTGCAGGTGATCCATGACAGAGGAAGTGACGTCATAATAGTGGGACGTGGCATCATCAAAGCAGCTAACCCGGCTGAAACGGCTCGTGAGTACCGTCTTCAAGGATGGAATGCATATTTGGCCAAGTGCACTTGAGGCCTCACTTCAAACGTTTAATTGGATGAGTCTAATCTTTGTTTCTGTGACATGTTTAATTTCACTACAAACCCTAGAGGAAGAAAGCTCTTGGGTGAAATATGGTGTGCTATAATACTTCTGGGCTAATTTAATGTGAGACCCTTGTGTTTTCATGCTCATGTTCTCGATGGTGCAAGTTTTCATAACTACCACCACTGATCGCATGATGTTAGAGTAGAATACTGATCGCATCATGTTTTATTATTATTTGTCATTAATTTCCTATAAAAGTTATATAATGATGATTGATTCATATTTAATTAAATTTTTATATACGTCACTTATTTGTGTTTTTCGGGAGAGAGGATCACAAAAGGTGGCAGATTTGTATTTTACATGCTCTCAGCATCATTATTTATTTATTTATTTATTTTTCAAATGCGTTATATGGTCTATTTATTTTCGTTCCTATCCTTCTCTGTTGACTCTCTCTGTTTTATACACACACACCCACATATGAAGAGTATCTCAATATCGATAAGAAGTAAATCAAACTAATGAAAAATGTGATCTGACAATTTGTTAAATTTTTATGTGAAAACCAAATTCGACATGTAAACTTCAAATATGGCATCTTCCAATATTTATTTTAGATTCATCTATTGAACAAAAAAAATCCAATAAATACAAGAAGAAAATTACTGCCCGAGAATTCCATTGAAAATAAAAATGGCAGATGTCCAGTCCCAAAAAAAAAAAGGCAGATGGAAATTATATACAACTACAGCAGAAGCGACGTTTAAGATTCTCTAAAGTAAACATCTTGCATTGCGTCATTCCTTCTGCTTGACAGATACTTTAACTTGAAAAGAAAGCAAAGGCCACTGAAAGAATCCTAAATGTCATAAATTACAGATAACTGCCTAATAGAACAAAAATAAACAAAGTCAAATGATGGTACAAAAGCTGATCATGTGTGTTGTACATCAAACCAGAAAAGTAGAGAAGTTCGAGCATAAATTACCCTGACTCGTTGCAGCACGAGATCGCCACTTGTCAGAACAGCTTTGGCACCTCCCTCAATCCGGGTTTCAGAAACAAAAACACCATCATCATTGTTCTTCATGGATGAGGGAATCACCTCACGGCTACTGGCTGTACTCACAATGGGACATGAGAGGTAATCCAGAGGATCAGATTCACACTGAAGTATGCATCCATCTATAGTCAGCCTTCCCTTTCTATGGAGCAAGCAACAACCAAGCTCTGCCTTCACCGTTAGATTCGCTAGTTTGCATGTGGAAAGGAGCTCCAATGCACTGCCAACACAAAATTAAGAGCAGATACCACATGTTGCAGAAGAATACAGTGGTGACTTGAAGACCTGTCCATGCTGCTGGATTATGGTTGAAACAACAAAGATCGATTTTCGGATGCAACAAATGGTATTTGCATTATTGTGAATCTCATTCAGGGCATGTAGCTCAAAAAGTATTATGTCTAGCCATGAATATTATCCATTGAACCCAGCAGCATGGAGGTGGGTCTGAATTACCACTTAATAAGCTCAGCAAACAAGGTAAAAAATCTAAACACGAGTTCTGCAAACCTGTCTGAACCTCGAGAACAAATGAGCATTGTGTCATCTGGAAGTTCACCTGCACCAATCTGAATAAAGAAAGAGGAGATTAAAAATGGAAAATGTGGGAACATTTCTTTACATGAAAATTCTTTTCCCATGGACTAGATTAGCAATGACGGTCAAAGCACCAATTTTAATTAACGGAGAATTCCTCGGTATTGGGCAGAGAATGAAGTGAGCAGACAAAAAAGATGTACTCTCACAGCCAGAGTTGATATAGTTGTAGCATTGCCATTTAGAATTCAATATCAGATGTAATCTCACACAAGCACCAAAAAATTATATGTATGTACGTGCTACCTCCAGTCCTAATTATAAAAACTAGTTGACTAATTTAAGGAGATTAAAAAAATAAGTTAAATTACTTATTTGTAATAAATAAGTATTGTCTTTCCTAAAATATCCTTACTAATCAAACGTATTAGTTAGAACTACCATTGTTAGAAGAGTTATCTCGAAAAAAAAATACATAACTATGAGACACGAAGTGAAATGGAGTCTTATATTTAGAACCAAAATAAAAATCAAACAAGGTCTTATATTAAATCTTATATTAAAGAGTGGAGGTAGTATATTTTCTTTTCACCTACTTCAGCTAGAAACAGCACGAATGTTTTTTATTCTTTCAGCTAGGACTAAGAAAAGTGTAAGAGGACTTACTAGGCAGATCGGTTTCTTTATCTGAATATTAGAGACCCGGTGGCTCCCTCCAGCTGCAACTAGAATGGTATCACCTGGTCTGAAACAAAACAAAACAATGATCATAATCTATAAGATGACAAAAATCCCATAAACAAGGCAATGATGACAAACCTAGCAGCAGAAACAGCAGTTTCAATGCTGGGGAAAACACCAGGTTCAGATAAGTCTTTGGCTGATCGATCTACTCGAAGCCACAGGCGAGGATGACATGCCAAGTAATTCCATCTGTGGCAAACGAGGGCGGTGTTATAGCGATCTGCAAACTCAATAGCAGCTTCGTGACAGAAATGACACTAATTTTTCCATACCCTAACCCTACTTCATACTCCAAATTAACAATAACAACCCGAAGAAACATCTAACAGCATAGCATACACAATCACAATAACCCCAAAAAAAAAAAATCCGAATAACGAAATTTTTAATTTTGACAAAATCCTAAATTGAGCCTTCTTCAATTAAACCAAACAGGTAATGGCAAAGAGATCTACAGACTCAATAACATCAACGTGACCGAAATGGCACCAATTCCACACCCTAATCCAACTTCATGGTCCAAATTAACAAGAAGAAGCTGAAGAAACATCCAACAGGACACCATAGCATCAAATTCGGCAGAAAGAATTCAACTTGAAGCAAAAAAAAAACTGAGGTCTTGCAAAATCAAACGAAAGGAATCAGATATGACAAAACCAACACGGAAGAAAGGAAATAGGGTTTACCAGGAATAGGGGAGAGGAAGCTGAAGATGTGCATAAGACAACCATCGTCGAGATTATTGATGTGAGCAACTGAGGATGAAGAAGATGAGATTCTTCTCCTCAAACTTCGCTTCCACCTTCCCTTATCTTCTTCAGCGATGCTCGGTTTCATCTGAACCACATCCGGATCCAACTCCATTGCCCACCTACTTCCCTCAATCGGACCCGCGCTTGGTTCGACCTCCTCGTCAGCCCTATCCCGAAATTTTATTTGATCGGCATTACGACCAACCGACGACAAACGCTCAACACAGTTGTCATATCTTAAAAACTGGTTTTCATTACTGGCCAAAAAAAAAAACACTGCTTTTTTCCTGCCAGCCAAAAAAGAAAAAAACACTGCTTTTCTGTCTACTATTCATAAGTTTCAAATTTAAGAAAAAAAGCATGAGGTATTTAGAGTAGCTTTATAAAAATAATTTTACAAACTTCAAAATAAAATATATAAAAAAGTTTTGTATTGACTTATGTAAAAATATTTTTTAAAATTATTTTGAGGATATCAAACGCTTACTAGTCTATTTTGTAAATTTTAATTTGGCTTGTCTTATCATTTAATAAATTTTCTTTAAAAATTTTTTTGAATTATTTATTCTTTCTCATTTGCCATGCTATTTTGTATCACATCTTTCAACAAATTATCTTTTTTTTTTTCCATTTATGATAAGATCATATTAATCTATTTATTGTTTTTAACTAATTACTCGTTATCTGTGAATTTATCATTTAAAACTTATAATAAGAATAAGAAGAAATATACATTTATAATAATTTTAATTTTAAAAACTTAATTTTTTTATAAAAGAGTTATTTATAATTTTCAAGAGTCTGTTTGTGTATAATTCCTCTTGTCGCTAAGATGCTCATTATTACTATCAAAGTGTTTGGATAAATATCAAATCATAATTTTAAAAGTAATTTTACAGTATACAAAATGAATATGTGGAGAAGTTTAATTCGATTTGTCAAAAAGTACTTTTTAAAAGTATTTTTTTAGTTACCCAAACACTTCATATATCTTAAAAATTCCAATCAACAATATCAAACTTAGAAAAGAGTTTTTTTTTTACCAACCTTAAAAAGATATTTGTGTCAATTATTCAATTCACTTTTTTAGTGAATTAAGATTGTATGGCACACATCAATTATGTTATTTTTCAAAAAAGATTTGGATTGATTTGCTCATTAGTAAGGTGTTTGGATGTAATCAAAAGCATAGTTTTAAAAGTGCTTTTACGGTATACGAAATAAATATGTGGAAGAGTTTATTTAGTGCCCAAACACCTCCTAGGTTCTTGATACTCAACACTCAATACTCTATTTCCTTTCTTTTAATTTTTTCTTAATAAAAATATTTGAGAGAGAACTGCGAGGCATGGTACGAAAATGCAATGTTGTACATAAAACTATTGATAAACAACAAATTTATAAATAGTAAATATATGTATATATAGCATGGATATATCTCTTCTCTCACCTTACGTTAACAGATAGTTTTATGATAGCAAAATTACAATAAAGTCTTAAGAAAAGAAAATAATTACAAAATAAGTCTTATAAATTGTCATTTTCTACTTTAAAACTTGTCATTACAAACTACTTAGATTGTTATTCAGACTTTTTAGTAATTATTTTTATTTCTTAGACCTTTATTGTAATTCTCCCTTTTATGAAGTGTAGAGAGAGAGAGAGTTTTGTGAAGTTTGGATTTTAAAATTTTAGAGGTATTGTTTTAGAATTTTTTCTTAATTTAAACTCTGAACCAAAAAAAGGAAATTAATTTTAACCGTTTTTAAGAAGAAGTAGAATTCCAATTAACTAAGGAGCTTGAGGACTTTAAGAAATTAAATTAATTAATTAATTGCGCACACTCTAAATGAGTCATGAAAAAGTCTCCAATCATCATTATCAATATTTATAAATGCATGCACCACAACTTAAACACAATGACACACGTTTCAATTGGAAAAAATAATAATAAGGGCACCGATTGCTCTGTATCATTAAAGCACTAATACCTGTTCCATAAATATTATAGGGGCAAAAATGCTCTTTAATGCTACTTCTGGTACTTAATATAAGAGTTAGTTAATTAATTTGAATAGATTAAGAAAACTAGTTAAGTTAGTTATTTATATTAAATGTGTTATTTTTCTTAATATCATTGCTAATCAAGTATATTGGCTAGAACTGCTATTATTACAAAAACTATTTTAAAAATAATTGAATAAATATAAGAGAAAAAATAGATTGGGTTCTTATATTTAGAACCAAAATAAAAATTAAGCAAACTCTTATATTAAAAACAAGAGGTAGCATAGAATTAATCTTAGGTTAATAGTCAACATTAGTATTCACTAGTCAATAGACAATATAACAATAGTTTTGATACTTAAGGAGCGACATTACTCCAAAAAAATCTCTTTTAACCCTAAAGGCAAATGTTTCCTGTATTGTTAGACATGCTTCCAAATTATACAAGTGCACAACATGCACATCCCTTTTATTACTTTTAAAAGAACGAATTAATATTATTAAAAAAGAAGTGCTTGGTTTACTAATAATAATAATAAACTTAGCAGTAACAAAAACCGGGAATCAAATAAGACAAAATACAACACTAAGTCGGTAACTACAACTAAGTTGTCATGGTTAAGATAAAACCTGATCAACAGACGATTCCTTAGCACACATGCCTATCAAGAACTCGGGCAGTGGTTAATCCACAACGATACAAACATCTGACTCAAAATTAGGTAACACAGCTGTTGCAATTATTTGAATGCAATATAAGAACTTATTAGTGGATCCCCCACATTTACAGAAAAAGAGAAAATATGTTTATCGTCTTTTCTTTCTCTCTATCTAACCTTTTTTCCTGCACCAAGTTCTCTAAATGTAGAGAATCAATTCAACATTCAAGCTTCAATCCCCTCATAAGCATTTTAGCCTCCAACCAATGAAAAATATATATTTGCGCAGAAAGTTAATCATTGAGGATTGAGGTGCAAAGGGAATAAAATCGGCTCATACGCAGAAACAAGTCAGCTAGAGAATTTAAATTTATATGAAGTATGGCTTCCTGTACCCCCCTTGGACGTGATTTTAGTAGAAACCAAAATCTACAGGCCAACAAGGAGACTCAAACTCCACTATTGACAAATAGATATTGATTCAATGATGAGAGGCAACTGTCTGCCAAATTTGCATAATTAAAACTCCCATAATATGCCAACCATAATATGAGATTTGGGTGGTTTTGGTACTCCATACACATATCTAGCTAGTTCTGACAGAAACAACTTCTCAGCGCTCAACACCTTTAGTGTGTTTAGGCACTGGGAGGTCCACACTAATAGTCATGCTTTATGGTTGAAGTATTATATAAGCCCTAAGAGTACACAAATTACGCAGCTGATGCTCGGGAATCTGTGAAGATAGGCCTAAGCACTTGGGCTCGACTAGAATCCAGACAGCTGACAATGAAAGAAAATAGTTGCGTTACAAGTAAAGCCATACATATTCTATGTAGAGACAATAGCAATGAACATGGAAGCAATAATGGAAAGAATTACCCCTCAGATTTCTAGATAACTTTTCTCTTCATTGAGACGTTTCAATCTCCTGAGCTCCGACATCTGCCGGCCCATTGTTAGAAGCATTCTCTGAAGTGTCTATGCAAGGACTGGTTCTAAATTGATCTATTGGTTGGGAATGTGCCTCAATCAATGAACAAGAATTCTTAAGCCCTTGGTCAGAAAATTGTTTGTTACTTTTCATATTTTCATCTGGCAAGCACTTCACAGTCAAATTTGGCTGGTTGGCAGCAAGGCTTTTATTTTGCGTCCTAGCAGAGATAGGTGAGTCAAGTTTATCAGCATAATTTCCATTTAACTCCAGAGGCCTATGAAAGAGCAGATGAGCCACAGTTCGATCAATGGGGTTTGTCTCTCTTTCACCATGGGGCGTCTTGGCATACCTGTGATCCCGATTTGGTTCATACAGGAACATTAACCATAACCAAAAAGTTAAATTGATCATCTTTCAAGCAAAATCAGCAAATATAGTGGAGACTTTACTTTCATCTTTGAATTGAAGTTATGAATAGCCATTCAGTTGGAAAACATGATTACATGATTAACCTGTTGACTGCAGCTTAGCAGAACACCTGTTCTAAAAAATGAATTATTATTTAGGTAATTGTTAACATAGTGTCCAGTGGCTGTCCATGAATAGCAAATACAGTTTTGGCATGCAGAAAACAGCCATGCATCCATGACTAGTTCTTAAAAGCCTGAAATATTCTTTTAGAGCTTTGTTTTGGTAAAATAAAGAAAAATATTACCAAAAAAAATATATAGTAACTCAAGTGCCATGGGCTCAATGAGGTAAAAGTAAAATCAAGTTGGCGCAGCTCTACTTATATCATAAATGTACCATCTCAAAGAAAAAGGGAAAACTGAGAGGGCACGAAGTTGCCACCCTCACCATAACATGACTCCACGACTATCTGTTTCTCAAGTTGTGCATCAGAGATGAAGAAATATACTGAACTTCTCCATGAGCACAGGATATTTCTCATGAAGTGATGGGAGTCGCAGGTAGCAAAAATATTTTCTTCACCATTTCCGCTTCACTTGTAAATGATATAAAATAATATAGTAAATGAAATTTCAGCAAGCCATGGAAATTAAGGAAGCATTGTATTATAAAATCTTTCCTAACCTGTATTGGCAATTGACTTCTTCTCTTTGAAGTGCGTCATGTTCTTCCCTGATATTTTTGTTCGCACCGCTACTATCACTAGCAGGATTCCTATCCATTGCACTTTGTGCCAAGCGGAACAAGCTATCTCTGAAGCAGAGTCTTATTTTGATGTCCAACTGTAGATAAAAGCATGCCTCGGGATTGTAGCCTTGTCCAAATTAGCATCCAAGGAAATAATCATAATATAAAGTGTTCACCACTAACAACTCAGCCATACCTTTGATATAATGTCCTGAAGCTTGTACAGTATCGTTTCTTCAACAAAACAATCATCAATAGCTCCAGAGACTGTATGGGAGTCATCTTGTTCAATAGGTGGATCCAGGGCAGGAAAAGTGCTTTGATCTTCAACTTCAGGATCAGTCCCATCTGAGGAACGATTTTGCATTTCTTGAAGATATGTTTGACTAATAAATTTATTAGTGCTAGGAACTTGATTGCCCAATTGCTGCTGCTGTTTCTGAATTGCAAGCATTGCCTGCATTTGTTGCCGCCTCCTCAATTTTTCAATTTTTTCCTGAGGAGTCATGGTCAGACTTTTGACTGAGTCCCCAGTCTTCTTCACAGGATTCACTAAATTACTAGAAACTTCATATCCAGAAAGTAGAGGTTGATGCCCGAGATCTGCCTGAGTCTGAGATAGCATTGGGATAGCTGGATATGCATTGGCTGGGTTTCCATACACAGCAGATACTAGATATGGATTCATGATGTTCTGATAAAAGGCCTCAGCTCCTTGGATCTGCTTCTGTTTTCCAGGAACCGAAGGGTGAGAAGATTGTATGGCAGAAGGTGTTGATTGATTCTCAAATTGTTTTGACAGGTTTGTTGAAGGAGACCAACTACCATAGGAATTCTGCAATCTTCTAGCCTCTTGTTTTCCCTGTGGTTTTTTCTGAACTTTCAGCAGATTATTTTGCCCACATTCCTGAATAAATATAATACAAAACAAGTTAAATAAGTTGATATAGATATGTTGATCAGACCTGTTGCACAAAATTATTTACTAACAGACACAAATACCAGTATTTTTTAATTTTGGTTCCATTAATGGCAGCTATAACTTGTTCTGAAGCCGCTTAATTTGTTCTCCATTTTGCCCCAGGTTGCTTTCTGTGGCCTAATATCCTTGTAATACATCTTTCCTTGTTTTGATCTAACTAGTTCTATTTCAGTTTGTGTGCCTTGAGAAAGAGTTTGAACAAATAAATGCCTAAACTTTCAGTCATCCCATATCAATCATTCAATGCGACTGTGTTATAATTTATAGAATTAAAGGTTATTTTCCCACAACTGGGCGAAAGCTAAAAAGAACCAATATGCTGCTTGTGGTTCACCCACCAAGGAGCCATGAATTAACAAAAAGTTACTTGCAACTGTAACGCACTGAAAGTAAGGGAAATGCGTCTTGTGTGATCATAGTCTTGGAATATAAATAAAAGTTAGCAAGTTACCTTTTTGTCAATTTTGCAACTGAGCCTTTAGATAAGTTATTTTGACTTATTTTAATTAATCCCTTCCATCTATCTCTAACTTTAATCTTCCCCATTTACTCAACATGGTTCTGGGTATTTGGAATCATCATACTTGAACCCTAAACCAAGCTTCCACAGGCACACAAAATAAAAGAAAATAAAAAAGAGAATAAAAATATCCCGCAACTGGAGTAATGCTTTTGCTTAACTATACATTTTATTGCAAGTTTGTATTCTATTACTGAATTGAAGTATTCTAGTTTGGTTTAACATTCAAAGAAGTTGAAATCATGACTCTCCGTGTGAACTAATGACTCATAAGGAGGGGATATCCGAGGAGCTGTGTATTGGAAATTTTGCCACTGATAAGTAATCTCATAGTTTAACATAGATTTTTCTTCCTTATTTTTCTCTGCCCAATTTGGATCCTAGCACACTGGTACAATTATTCCATGTTATTTGTATTTTGATGTGAAATCCAAATAGACCAGACAGGAGAAAGTCAACGGAGCCAGCTAGGGGAAACAGTATGAAGAACTCAAGGAATTGCGATTTTGGGTATTTGTTGGAAAGAAAAGCTAGAATTTTTAAAGGTGCTTTGAAAACTGTCAATGGCTTATAGGAAGAGCCTCATAGCTACTCTGTTCATGGTTATCTTAAACGAGTCTCTGTCAGTCTAAAATATATTGACCTCTGCAAGCTCCATTTCGAACAACTCTGGGTCTTGGATTTTGTCGGTGCAAGGACCGTGCAAGCTTCAAACTAGTGACTAGCCAAACATATGTTTGGGCTTCTGTCACTCGTTTCTCCTAAGCGCGAGCAATGTCTCCTTAGCTTTGCCATAAAATTCACAAAGCTATATACCTGAAGCTTACACTAAGGTTGCAGAACTCAGTTGTACCTGGGTTGACTGGGGGACACAAGTCAGCAATAAGCTAGTGCTCACACATGAAACTGGCCTTTCAAATAACCGTCAAGCTCCTGAACAAGGTCTGTGTTGCATTGGTTTTGCTTTACAGTTGCTTTCCACTAATATGGGGGAGTGGGTTGAATACACTTCCCTTGGAGTGTGAGACCATGGATGAGTAGATTACGGTGGTAGATGTGCAACAATGACCTCATCAAAACTAGTCTCGCATGGAACACTAGAATTGATATCACCCGCCATAAATTAGAGAAACTCCGAGACTTAACTATCAAAGGCCACATAGATGACCCGGAAAGCAATGCTACACAGAGAAAGGACATATTACCAAATTTATAAACAGGGAACAAGAGCCTAGAATCTTTGATAAGATCCAAGATAGGTAGCGAGAAAGAAGGAAGGAAAGTCTTTAATAAAATATGAAATCAGAATCTAACTTCACAGATTAATAAACTTGAAGGAAAGTCTTTACTACCATATAAGCAAGAAACTTAAACAACTAATAAAGCCTAAAAAGAATCTCCCAAATTACAATGAATCTCAAAATTTACCCTACCTATCCTGCTAAACTCCATCTTTTTATAACATAAAAATCGATGTCACATGATAAATAAATCAGAAAATAACCAACTAGATCCTAATTCCTAACCAACATTTGAAAAATAAACAAATCCTAATTGAGATATTTATACATAAATATCATTCTTGTTTGCAATCAAAAATATATTAACATCACCTAAAAGTATGTTAACAAGCTGACCCACTAATTCGCCCACTCTCCCATGATGTACGATGCCCTATCAATCTAGTTCTACTGAAATTCTCAGATGTACACTATTATCATAGGCTATAAACTGGAAGAACAATCAATCACGAAATGTGGTTATGAGCTGTAAAATTGCTGCGCAACCCCTAAAGGCTAAAAGTACTCCATCACTGAATTCTCTCACATGTAAAGGAATATGAAAACAGTCCTCTAGCTTTGAAAAGGCTAGAGTCACTCCAGAGTCTTGCCAAACCTGTTATTGACCTCTCACTCCACAATATATTCCATCATTCCCTACCAACAGCCCCAGCTTCCCTGTCTTACAGCCCATGAGATGTAGTAACAATTGCAACTGCCAATTATAGGGATCACGTCTCTTTTTGCTATAGCACGTGCAAAGTGGCTTTGTATCAAAGGTTCAGCTTGAGGGCATGTTAAGAGACATCAAGAATGTAGTGTAGTAGATAAAAAGAAGTCAATTGTGGCGCCCCCATGATAAAGGGCAGGTATCATTATGTTGTTATACCATCATTGTATTGTTTAAATACAAATTTAAGGGCAAAATATATGCACACATCAAACACTATCATTGAGTTTGTCAGTAACAGCTTTTGTATCGTCTCGTCTTTTTCTTTCTAATTTCAACCCTCATTATTTTCTTAACAATTTCCCATTCCAAATGATAGTTGCTCTATCACAATCTGTGCAACATCATAATTGCTGATCCACAGTTACTTTCTTTTCTTAATGACAAAAATCATCCAGATTCAAAGTTTTTTAGCCAACAATGACAAAAATCAATTTATACTCCGTGTAATCCTAGCTCACTGTGTCATCTAACCATCGGAACTCCTACTTGAGTAAATATGTATAATGTTGAGAAGATAGTGAAAAAGCGTATATCACTTAATGGAGGGACAAGCAATGTGCTTATACTCTTCGTTTTCAGTAAGAGTGGGCTTCTTTTAAGCGCCAACCATATAAAATAGCTTCTTTTGATTGTCGTCTCACAACAAATGGGCAGGAAAATACCCCTAGAACATTAATCGAGTTCTTCCATTAGATAACAGAACATAAAGTGTATCGTTTTATAGTTCCAAGATAATCTAGGGGTTACCTTATCAGCAAGTTCATTGGCATTTGCTACATTTTTTTCACCAGATGTTGAAGAAGGGATTCTACCAACAATATCCTGATTTTTTGGAGGGGGGAAAAATGAAATAAGTAATCTCATAGTTCCCATATACAAGCAAAGAACTTGATATTATAGAGACAGGTGTTTCAAATTGAGTTAACATACCTGATGCTCCTTTCTAACAGGCTTGCTTCTCTCTCCACCGTAAGTCACATCAGTTGTGATAGCATGCACATTTTGTGTATCATGGCATGCGGAACCACCAATCTTGTCATAGCTGAGGGCAAATAATTTGTCATTACATTGAACGTAATCTGCTTTAATTTCCAAAGGCTCAGATCTGTTCCTTAAAGCACCTGCTGTACCAGGAGTATCCAAGGATATAGGTGCTGTGCTGTTACTCACATCTTTTGAAGACCACAGTTCACCAGTATTATCAAGACTTACATTGCCAAAAATAGAATCGTCATTGCTGCAAAATATCACTTGTGAGAATATTGAGTCAGACAGATGCCATTGTAAAATTACCCCCCAGGGGGGCGCTCGTATATAACTGATAGCCATATGATAAGCTACATATTAATGATATTCATCATTCAGAGGAATTTAGTACTTCTATTCAATGTCATCCATCATGTGATATTTACAAAATAGTATTGAAGTTACAAGACAATGTGACCAGTTGTGCACTGTTGTAACTTCAATAATATGGTAAGCTGTAAATCAGTGGTATTCACAAATGCCTCTCTATTTCAGTCCATTCACTCAAAATATTATCGAGGTTACAACACATTTGTTTTCAAGTTGAACAAAAATATCATTTTATGTGGAGCCACTCAAATTCAGATGGAGTGATGTATCAACAGTTGCATACATTTGTGACTGCTAAAGTTCTTAAAAAGAAGGCAGGGAAGAGACCTTTTTCTTTATGGAAAACGTTCTAGAGGAAGGTAAATAGACTTTGGTAACTTGGAAAAAGAATGACACCCTTGTCAAAGAAATTTGTGATAATAATGTGCTATGAAGACAATGCATATATCAGATATACAATAATAAAACAAATTTACATAACCTGAAAATTCGCTCAGGTCATCAAAGCTTCCTATGTTTCCCCACCCATAGTCACCAAAGTCACCTTGTTCTTTACCTTCATTTGCAATTTGGAAAACTCCAACATCCTTTCCAAGTTGAGCGGTCTCTTCTGTCAAACATGTACATAGTTAATAATTAGTATTAGTAATAATGAGATAAAAATACATTTCATGGATTTTTAGTCATTTGCATATAATATGGTGAGACAAATGTGAAACACACAGGCAGACATATATCCACACTGCACATGGACATACATAGAAATCCATGCTATATACGCATAATTCCAGCAATTAGCAATTTTACCACCTCTTGATGAATTGAGTTGTCTAATTTCACTAAAAGTTTTAGATACGTCGGTACCCAGGGAACCCTGATCAGTCTTAGCTGCACTGGATAAAGACAAGTCAGCCCATGAGTTAGTGTCATATCCTGACGCAGGTAGTCCTCCACTATTATGAAGTTTCGATGTGCTTCCTAGCTTTCTGCGCTGAACATCAATTTTAACCTCTGGCCTCTTATGCTCTGAGAGCTTATTGCTACTGGCTCCCTGGTTCCATTCTTTCTTGTTTCCAAGATCTGCAGTTACCTCTGGATAAGGCACAATATGATCATCACTCGCACCTGCCTCGCCCCATATTATGTTGGCAAGCTGAAAACAATCATTTATTAGGAATAAAATAGAATATTGATGAGGTGAAAGTCATCAAGAAAAAGAAAACATTGGGAATATATGGTCACTATTATATGTCAGTAAAGTTCAAAACAAGTCCATAATCAGGTACGCATCAATGGTCTGATGCTAAGATCACATCTTAAAGCTAAAGAAGGATATTCCATTTAATTTTCAATCAAACAGAAGTACTCAACTGATTCTGAATCAAATTTTCAATATAACAGACATACTCAAGAGGAGTAGAATATTCACCAAGAACACAGGGGAAAGAAAGTAAAAGGCAAACAAGAACTGCATATGATATTTCCTGATTCCATGTTTGGAATCAATTTTTTTTATTTATATTTCAAAATTGACTATAATAGAGACAAAAGTAAAAGAAAATTTAGAATCCTGTGAGACCATACGGCAAAAACTCAAGAAACTTGGGGGGGGGGGGAGATTCATAGGTGAATAAGAAAACATTTTGGCATGAGCATATCAGTTCAGCTCCTGTTCATGCTGTTAATTGCCCACTCTAAAAATAGATAAATAAGAACAGATGATCTGCCATCAGCAAAAAATAAAAAGAGAACAGATAATCCACTTTTATGAAGAAAAAGTATATCATGTTAATATTTATCTAGATTTAAAAAAAAAAAATTACTCCGCCCCTCATCCATGCCTCCTTGTCATAGCAATTGAAGATGATTCTGAATCAGAGTGCACCCAACAGCTAACCTTCCCGAAATGAATCAATATCATTATTTGGTCTTGATGTTTCTCAATCTTTGCAGGAAAAAGATCCGAAGAATTATAATAACTCCCAGCTCCATCCGTAAGGGTTGAGGGGACAGGCTATTGCAAGACCTCTAATTGCGAGTTGTGACTACACATGTCGGCTCTCTACCATTTCATCTCATCTCCACTGTATCATTTCCATAGTGTACAAGTTCCACAACATTCGAATCAGACTCATTCGTATAAATTTAAACCATTGCAAATCCAACTCCAAAGGCCTAAAATCCGTTTTACAACTCGAATCAATGCAATATTTTTAATATTGGATTTGGAACGCTATTTCTGAAGCATTGTTTGATGGATGTACTTTCCACGTCTCTTCATGAGGTACATCAGAGAAGTTTCCGCTTCGTCAAATATTCAACATCTCCCTTATCACAACACGGTCAAAGACTTCCCCAACACATCCCAGCGGAACCAGCTAAGTTTCCAACTCAGTTCCAAGTTCGTACGATCATTTCACATTCAAACCACCAGAAACTATCAACTCAATTACAACTACAAAAATTTAGAGACCTAAAACAACGACGTCGTTGACTTGAACAAGAAAAGAAGTAGAGCAAAAAAAACAAACACAAAAAGAAAAAGCTGGAACTCAGCTCACCTCTTCTTCGTTCCAATCAAACATTTCTTGCATAACTAGAACAGAAATCCTCAAGTCCAAAACCGGAATCAAATACAAGCCCGTGAATTAGTCCACTCATCGCCGAAATCACCAGAAGATCACAGAGAAAAGCAGCCCAAAAACACCATGAAATTGAGCCGAAGAAACAGAGGAAGTCAGAAAAGCGGCGAAGAAAGGTAAAGTAGAAGCATGCAGAGAGAACAAAACTTTAAGCTCCTATCCTTCACGGTGAAACGGCTACAAAATTTGCAGAAGCTGCGAGACAGACAGACAGAGAGAGAGAGAGAGAGAGAGAGGATTGACGAGGAGGAAGAAGGTGGTGTGGTGGGTCGAGCTCACGTGACGTCGCGTAAGTACGTGAATGGCTTACAATTAAGAGGGGTGGGGTCCACACGTTCGACACGTGTGAATGGGGGCATCTAAACTAGTGGCGAGGAGGAGGACGATCAAATGCTGAGACGTAATTGGCTGGTGGGACATATAATAATAATATAAAAGATTTTTGAAACAATAAATTTTTCGCGTGTTTGGATTTCCTTTTTTACTATTCGTTCGCTCGGTTTTTCCCATTCGGGTGGGCCCCAGGCGCTCTTTCTAGTGTCTGGTTCAGGTCGTTTTACGGGTCGCTTTCGCCTTTCAGCTTGGCTGCTTGCCCTGCTCCGCACCTTGAGTTTTGCCACCGTGGCACCATTATCATCATCATCATCATATCAATCAAATAATTTAAAAATAAAAAATTAGTATATTAATATTCATTTGTTTTCTTTTTGTGTTCTTATATATTTATCCAACGTCTAATCCATAATGGAAGGATTCAAAAAAAAAATCTGATATCATGGGAAGAGATTATGACCTGCCTTAAAATCGAGGGACAAATTTGTAATTTTGTAATAGGAGTCTTCGTTTCCAACCTTCATGTACCTTAACAAGCAATAAAACTTTTTTCTGGTTAAGGAAAATTTATAATTAGTTTCCATTCCCTGAATTTGATTTATCACTCAGAAAACTTATTAATAATTAATCTTTTATTTAATACTCCTCCAGTCTAATTAAGACCCAATTGATTTATTTGAGGAGATTAAGGAAATAAGTTAAGTTGGTTATTTATAATAAATAAATGTTGTTATTCCTAAATATCTTTGCTAATTAAGTATATTGGCTAAAACTATCATTATTAGAAGGATTATCTTGGAAAAAATGTATAAATATAAGAGACAAAATGGATTGAGGTCTTATAATTAGGATCAAATAAAAAGTCAAATGGGGTCTTATAATAAGGACCGGAGGAGTACATAGTTTTAAGTTTTCCTTTCTTAATGTCTACTGCACATGCTCTTCTTGTTTTTTTTTTTTGCCAGAATACTGCTCATGTTCTAATGCTATGCGTGTATACCTTTACCTTACGGGAAATGGTAGAAAAAGATGGAGAGGAAAAATTTTAATAAGCTTGATTTTAAAAATTGGAAAAAATTGGGTTAAAAATTTTAAATTAATTTTGCTTGGTCTTTATCTTACTTTTTTTTTATCAAAATTTTATAATCCCACTTCTCTAATTTTTTAAATCAAACTCATTAAAGTTTTTCATCCCCTCATCTCCCCTCTAATGCCCTTGTTACCAAACATAAGGTAAGACTTCTTTATAAGAATTAACTTATAGTTAAAATCTAGCTATAAATTGCTTGGTATGGGACCTTAATCCATGTCATATCTCATATTTATTATTATTTTTTAAATTAATTGATCAAACTTATAAATTGGTGTGTAATTAATGTAACACAAGGATATTTTTTGGAGATCAAATCCTATTTGATAAAATTAAATAATTTATTTATATTCTTTTAATTTATATAAATTAATTAGATAGCTCTTAGAAGGATATCATAAAAATGACCTGGAATTTTGGTACGTACGAGTTTATGTTTCATGTTGACCACCAACTTAGATGGTGGGGCTTCGTGTATCAAGTTGTAATATTAGGGTTTTGAATGAATAAAGTTTGAGTTGTTATAGATATTTATATAATATATGTACTCATTTCGGTTTCTAATAATGGAATTAGTTGATAGTTAAATTTAGTCTTCTATATAATATATCAATTCAATTTGTTTCATGTACTTATTATTTTCTCCAAATTAATTGCCTAACTCAGAAACATATATATAATGCAACCTTATATAGGGATATTTTTAAAAAAATTAAATCATATTTGCTGTAATTAAGTAATGTATCGAACTTCTTAAATCTATCAAAGTAAGTTAAATAATTCTTTGTTAGGCCCCCTCCTATAGTCCTACCTTTTATACAAGCTTGTGATTCACATTGATATAATGGCAGGAAAAGAAAATAATTAGTGATTATTGGGAGTGATATGTCATCAATTACTTTTTAATAAATATCAAAATGCATATTGATATGGAAATGATAATTAAACAACTTGTTTTTTTGGAAGCGTGTTTAACAAAGGAAGTATATATTGGGAGCAACTTTCTGGTACAACAAGTGGTGCTTGTTGCTACCTAAAATATTGCCATGAGAGAGGGAGAGAGAGTATGGGCAACATTTTACATTTGTACCAAATATATATATTTATATATATTATTGATCTTGATATTTTTCTTCGCGCTTATCATCTTGAGAGGACACATGGTAATGAGCTTCTTATCAAATTTCTGTTTTTGTTCCTTATGATTCTCCTAATTCATGGTATCTTTACTTTTATTATATTTTTAATTTATGTATTGAAAACGAGTAAGGTGAATTGAATTTTAAAAGTTGGTTATTCATATATATGTGTGTGTGTAAAAGAACAGCTTTAATCGTACATCATATTACATATAATGAGTATTTAACATATTAGCATATAAATATAAATGACGATGAATAACATACAATAAAATTGGGGAAAAAATAGTAGTAAGTAATGAGATGATATCCTCATGCAGATTGAGAAAAACTTGTGAAAACTACTTGGAATTGTTGATAATACCGTTTTATATATTTTGGATTACATTTTGATTGATAATAAAGCTTTTTTTAGTACACACATTGTAATACCTCCGATCCTAATCATAAAATCTCATTTATAGTCTATAAATAAAATCTTATAATTAGAAGAGGAAGTAATAATTCATTTTTAGGGATATTTAAAAAATATATATATAAAAGAACAACTTTAATCGTACATCATATTGCATATAATGAGTATTTAACATATTAGCGTATAATTATAAATGACAATGAATAACGCACAATAAAATAGGAAAAAAATAGTATGCTTCTGGTCCTTAATATATGAGCTAATTTTTAAGTTAAGTTTAATCTTAAATATAAGACCCATTTCTTACATTTATTAATTTTTTCTAAATTATTCCTATAGATACTCCATCAACCATAATCAAGTAAGTAAGGGAAAGAGGATATTAAGAAAGAGGATTATGGTGTTTTAGAAAAAATATGTCATATTTCTTATAATTAACTAACTTACCTAACTTCCTTAATCTAATCAAATTAGTTAAATATGTTTTATATCAAGGATTGGAGAAGTAGTAAGTAGTGAGATGATATCCTCATGCAGATTGAGAAAAACTTGTGAAAACTACTTGGAATTGTTGATCATACCGTTCTATATATTTTGAATTACATTTTGATTGATTAAATAAAGCTTGTTTTTAGTGCACACAGTGTACTATCTTTGGTCCTAATCATAAAATCTCGTTTATAGTTTACAACTGAGATTTTCTAATTAAGACCAGAGATAGTAATTCATTTTTAGGTATCTTTCAGAAATCATTCTTATGAGCGGATTCCACGAAATTAAACACCTTTCGTGGCTACTAGAATTGTTAAAGCTTCTGTAAATAGGTCTTATCCAAATAGATCTTATCCTTCAATTTAGGTATTGCCATCCTTATTGTTATCGGATGCCTTGTTCCTCTTGCTTGTGTTGCTTTGAAATATCGTGTCTTTATTTCTTTAACTACTTCTCTATGTTTTTGTGTTTATGGATGTGTTCTTGTTTGTTTAGAGTTTTGTTAGACTCTTGAAGATTTGTATTTAATGCATCTTTAATATTTGAAAAAAAAAAAGGGCAAGATGTTTGTGAGTTTTCGTTGGAATATAATTATTCAATATATAAGTTTTACTTTTTCTGAAATAAGTTTTATTTTATATTAATTAATTGATTGATGTTAATATTAATATCCATGATGTGCTTTTTAATCATGGTGATCGAGTGAGCCATATATCATCTTATTAATAGATTAAACGCAATGCAAGCAATTAGCGGTAAATAAGTGTGATGAATAAACATAAATTATGCATATATATGATGTTATTATTTGGTGAGGAGAAAATCACTTTTTATTGTTATAAGAGTTTGCCGGAAAATATTCTTATCATAGGAAGAAGTTATAACAATAAAATTAAATTAACCATTTTTTCAAAAAAAAAAAATCATACGAACAAAAATATAACTTAGTCATCAACTGATTAAAAAAAAAAATTAAGGACAACATTTTGTCGGTAAATACTATTCAATTTTTTTAAAGTTAGTCAAAGTTAGATTACTTTAAATTTATGTAAAATAAATAATTTTTTATTTAAGGGGATTACGCAAATATTTTATTTGAAAGATATGAACTAATAATTTGAAATTACAAAAGTGAGTCATGCTTTAATTTTAGGGGAATTTTTATGCCATAGACGATAAAGTTATTGGCTTACAATAAAATAATACTCATTCGATCCTTAATATAAGACCTATTTAATTAATTTAATTAGATTAAAGAAGTTAGGTAAGTTAGTTAATTATAAAAAATATGACATGTTTTTCTTAAAACACCATAATCATCTTCCTTAATATCCTCCCTCTCTTTTAGGAAAAATTGATAAATATGAGAAGTAAAACTTATATTTAGGACCAAAATTAATTCAATAATTAGGTCCTATATTAAAGACCAAAGGCATATTAAATTATTCAAGAGGAAAATTTAGTAAAAAAATTCTTGTTTGAAAATTTCCTCAATACCCTTTTTATTTTCTGTTCTCCTTACAATTTTATTTGAAAAATTTGGTTAAAAGTCATGTTTAAAAATTTAATTGGCTATTAAAAAATTTAAATTTAAGTGAGTATAACTATGATTCACAGGTGTAATTTTTTTTTTTACCGTGCACAACATATTTTTTATTATGTGCAAATAATTTTGTATTAATAATTGTTACACACTATTAATGATATGCTGTACAAGGTAAAATAAAAATTACACTTACGAATTATAGTTACATCCACTTAAATTTAAATTTTT